CACAAAACCAACGACACAATAGATTAAAAAACTAAACACACTCTCTCTCTCTCTCTCTCTCTCTCTAGGGTATGCATACATGTAAGCATTTGATTTTTTTTACCAAATTTAATTCAAGAACTGAAACTTAAACATGCAGAACTAACGCATGAATGAATAACTATGGATACACCTATAGACCAGACACGAACGCATCCATTGGGTTTGACCCTCTTTACCCTCAAGGACACTGTAACAGTTGATGCATTTTCTGGCCGGCTAATGGAGGCGTGCGTAAACCTATTGATATTCCATGGGAAAAGCCCAAGTTCATGTATAGCAAAGAGATCACTTTAATCTAGAACGAGAAGTGAATGGTGAATCCTCAAGTAGGAAGAAGTGGATGTGATTTTTGACTTATCAAGGAGTTAGTACATTCGTAATTACCAGAAATGCAATGGCAAACCATGAGATAGAGAAAACAAGCTTTTGTTGGCATTGGTGCAATTATTCGCTCCTAGCAGATAACTTCATTCTAGGGAGAACTTCAAATGCCTATCCAATAAGAGATAGTCTATTAGAAGGGATCTAGATAAACACAGTTCCTGCCCTCACCCTTGGTTTTCTTAATCTCTTTACAAAATGGAAACCTTGCTTTGTATTTGGTCAAAGACTCTTGCCTTTTGTTTTCATATTTGTCCCTTCAACTGCCAGTAGTTCTTAAATTGGAGGTTGGCTTGTGGTGCGGCTTCTGAGAGGTAGCTGGAATGTAGCAGGGATTGGGTGGCTTTCTAGCCAACCCCAAAGCCCATGGAATTGATCAAAATTCCAGAATGAGTAAAGTAAACTAGTTCCTCAGAAGAATGTACAAGCATTGGGTCACCAGGATTTCCATCTTTTCATCTTCTAACACAAGACATTTGAATGACAATTTGCCACCAATTCCTATATATTTTATAAAACCAGATTTTAGTTTCATTTTTTATTTCCAGGTCCAAATGAAATGAAATTTGCTATGGATTTCAATGTGCAGATCTTGTTGAATGTATTCTATGTCATAGTTTCTTCTATTTCTTCTTCAATGAAAAGAACTTTCATCAAGTAAAAGAAGATATACAGCTTACAAGGAGTAAGAGAAACTTGGCAACCTGCATCAGAAATACAAGTAGATACAAAAGCCTTGAAGATCCACTGAGTACCCAAGCTTTCAAGCTAACCTTTAGGATTGCCGGTTGATATGCCTGGTGCAACCATTTTAAAGTCCATAGAAGCTGTTGTCCCCTTAGCCGGCCCTAATTAGTTGGGAAAAGGCTCTGACGATGATGAGAAGTTATTGTCCCCACCTCCCCCTGAAAGCTCGCCTAATCATTTTCAAAAAGTCCATGACAAATGTACAAGGACTACCAAAAGATTATATCTATGGTCTCCTGTACCACCCTATACAAAAAAACACATTTTGTAATCACAATGAACATACAAGGAACTTGAACATAGAGTGAAAATCCAGTTCGATCTCATTGTACATTTATGAAGCAGCTTGAGAATCTTTTGGACTACTCAAAACAATGTCCATAAAACACAATGTTGGAGGAGGGTAGACATAGATGTGCCCTTAATCCTCAAGGTAGATGAATAGCCATGGAGTGTCAACGATAGCAGGAAAATTTCCATGTGAAGCTCATGGCAGGTGTTTCTTTTCTTTTCTTTTTTCCATTGAAACTGTTTAACTTTCATATTAAGAGGAAAAGAGTATACAAAGTGTTTAACTTTCGTATTAAGAGGAAAAGAGTATACAAAGTGTTTAACTTTCGTATTAAGAGGAAAAGAGTATACAAGTGTCTAGGTACAAAAAATTGCAACCCACATGCTAGGTGCTCAATAAGAAGACCACTGTTAGGTCGCAAAAAAAGCTACACATCCAAAAAATTACATCTACCTACAAAAAATAACAGGACCCTGTATACGTCAAAGAGGTGGGAACCAAAGCTCAAAAAGGTGGCAGCAGATGTTTAGTGAGCAATATCCACCAAAACTTTGTTGCAACTACAACCTGGTGGTTTCCATGAATCCTAAGCACCAGCTCATTCGCTTGGCTCCCACTACTTAATGGGGGTTCAAAAGCACAGAATTATCACGAAGACAAGGGTACAACTGGCTGATGCATCTGAACTTTAACTAAGGAACCTCTAAAATAAATTAAAATCTTACAACTTGAACATACAAGAATAGCTCATGATTATAACCAAATTCTTATTGTCCTTGAATCGAACAGAAGAAAGTAACCTACAAAGCCTGCTCACATGCACCAAAAGATCCACAGTTGATTTCAATCAATGTCAGAGACGGAAGCGACTTAGTAGTTCAAAATACCCATCAACAAGATGTGTCATGGTAGGACAACAAGAAGCAGCTATACGTACAATCTAAATTTTTTGTGCACCAATGTGTCATCAACGAAGTTCAACTTGGAGAATTTCACAGCTTAAGTAAGTCACTTGCAATTGCACCGTTAATGGATCTCAGATCTTGATGTTGACCCTTTTACAACACCATGTTAAAGAAGGTGATCTTTCAAGGCTTGAAGTATGCACTGTAATGGTATGAATTCGATTTTCATCATTTTTAGATATTTTTTCTCTTTTCCAGTATAAAATAGAAATCTTGTAGAGTTGAGAACCCACTCAGTTTTTGCTTGGACTGAATCTTTGTCCAAGATTAATGTTTTGAACTCTATTTCCAAGTATTTGACATTTAAATGGCAAGACTTGCTAAGGCACCCCTTCGAACTGAATTCCCCAGCACTGAAATTTAACTCAGGATCTCTCACATTTCCAACAGGTATACCAATGTGCTTAAGAATCAGTTTGCACCTTTCAAAAAGTAAAAGGTGTAAATGAATATCAAGGTTGATTGAGCAGACTTAGATAGAATCCGATAAGATAAAGTAAAGTGGATATGGACGTGCAAGCCAATTTTGTTATCAAAGACTAGAATCTTTCTTCTTCTTTAGACATCAACCATCATAAATGCATACCGTAGGTGGTCAATCTACTGCTATTTGAAACTGAAGATTCTGTATTTCATGTGTTGCATTCAAAAGTAGCTAGCAAAATGAGCTCGGCACCAATTAAGGTGGGCTTTATATATACAACGTTCATTTATATAAAGATTTTGAAATGAAGTTATGAATCTGCTTCAAAATTTACAAACTAAGATAGCACAATGAGACTGCCAACTAGACAGCACACACCACCCATCTAATTAGAAACTGTGAAAGAGGAAATTCTTACCCACATGAGATAAAAGCACTTCATTCCGTTAATAATAAGTAGATAGAGCATATAGCTAGCAAATGTAGAACTCTCCAACACTGGCTATGCTATTGCTAAGAATGGAAGGTGTTTCTCCCAAGAGTATCACATGAGAAAAGCTCATGAAAATATGCTGAGGAACTTCAAGAAAAGATGGTCCTCAGAATCAACAGAACAGACATTGAACCAACCTTTAGTTTCTTCTATGAATGTAATCAATATTGAATTTATCAAACAAAAATCATTAAAATTATAGACGAAGGTGTTAGTTGTGAGGAAAACATGGAAATAGAGATTAAGAATAAAAATAATCTAACTCCAAGTTCCATGGATATATAGAATCCCCAACATTAATAAACTACTGCATTATGATGCTAGACAATTAGGTAATATAATAGAATATGCTAGAATCTCTCTTTATGTCAGAATTATTACTGTGAAAAGCAGAACTTACAATTGAATTTCTTCTTTGGTATTTTTCCATTGTTAAGTGTGTGTAGAAAGTTTTTCACATTTTCGGCATTTAATCGAGCTGTATACTGCAATAGATCAAATGCAAAGCAAACATAAGACTGGTGACAGCTACCTCAATTTGTAAACATGGAATCATGATAAAAGTAATTCAAAAAACTGTTTTGACTATGAAGAACTACTGAAGCATTTTCTTTTTAAATTGAGAAAGTAACTGGAGTATTGGTAGTACCTGAATGACGACTACATAATATTTTGAATTTTTGGGATCACTGCAATCAGTAACACTTGCATGGGCTTGAGTATTAGTCTGAGACAGAGAAAGAGAAAGATTGAATTCAGAATATCCATTCAGACCATATGGTGGAATATCAGGCAGTTTTCTCACCAAATACTAAAACATAGAACTCAACTATTTTTAAGGCAAAAGTAGCTCTTTCTCACTCATCTAAAAATTATTTCATGTTGAAATGATAAGGACTCACTCATCTAAAATTATTTTATGATGAAATGATAAGCAAAAACTTGTCTTGACATAATTTAAGACAAAGAAATGGAGAAAAATAATGCTGAAAATAAAACATTATACACATTTCCATTGCCAAAACAATGCAATCAAATGTTGCACGTAAACCGGATAAGGAATTGACTGAAACAATTAGAACACATAAGTTGTCTGAGATCTACGTTATGATGAATGAGCAATCTCAATGACCATCCCTAGGTAATGAATTTTGAAATGCATTTAGGTGTACAAATAACATTAGACATATTGAATATGATCCACATGGTCATAGTAGGAACTATAACCATGTGGCTTATCATTGTACAATCAATTGGTTGGATCGTGAAGGGGAGAAAGTAGGGACAAATAGTTCATTGATTGAAATGTATGGTGGGACCACTCCCCCCAACCAATTGATGGGATGGTGATAATCTCATGGTCATTGGGTTTTGACAACCATATGGCTCATATGGTATGGACCCTAAAAAGATATGGAAATTTGTTCCAGTCCAAGTCAAAATTAATAAGTTTTCATGCAAACTTTGTCCATGGTGTCAGAGTACATCCATGAATCCACCAACACTTCCTGACCTTGGATATGACGCAGGCGCCTTTGCAGCCAAACATGTGCTAGAATGGAGCAACCCTTATCATAAATCTGATAAACACTTTTTCACCTTGTGTTTACGACCGTAAAAGTTCAAAAAGTTAAACCCAGCCAGGGACTCAGGCCTGATAAACTGAAACAACTCATGGATCTAAGCTTAATAGGAAATTTTCCAAAAACATCTTTTCTTTTTTGTAAGAAATTATTAAAGAAGAACTGAAAATAAAAAATTAAAATAAAGAACTGAAAATAAAAAATTAAAATAAAGGTTCTTGAAAATAGATAATTAAAATAAAGCTCCTTGGTAATAAACAATGTACATCATACTATATATTACTCACTTGATACAATGGCAATAAAAGTGAGACAAGGTGAGCATTTAATAAAGGGGAGGTATCCACCTTAGGTGCCTAAATAGGAAAGTTGCTGGAGTCTCCAATGGCATTACCATAGTTATCATGATGCCAAGGTGAAGATCCCACAATGGAAATGTGTTCCCTTATTCCCAAAGCGTGAACGAAGATGGAACCGTGATCCACAACTATGAGGACCGCGTTCTGTACCTATAGGCCTCTCAGTCAAGTTAGGTTCCCTGATTCCATATCGTTACGGATCATGAGCCTAGTATACAAGAGTGGGATTCACATGTTATTTTGAGACCTTGATCCAGAGCTACTAGAGAGCTTCTTGATATTTTGCCAGACCATTCCTATTAGAACATATCCTCCATGCCATTGCAAGAATAGGCACAATTAATAGGAAGTTCTTCAAATGGAATTCTAGAACTGCTGGGAATGAATATTGGGCTTAGAAAGAAATATATGAAACACTTCCATTAAAAAAGAGTTTGGACCATGGCAAAAACGAGGGGCCTTTGAATGAGTTTTAAGGGGAAGAAACCATAAGAATTTCAGCTTTAGAAGATCCATATCCATCTCCCAATTTTGGGATGGGAATAGATACAGACTTTCTCCTCCGATAAGTAGGAGGAATTACAGATGTGGAAGCTACTTTCAGAAAATACCTCATATCTTCTTTGTTTATATATAAAGTTAACATTGTATTCACAAAATATCGCCGCAAAGAACAAGGCTTGTATGCATCCAAAAAATTAGGCTCCCCAGCAGGAAGCCCCGAACAAAATGAGGAAAAGACAAAAAGAGAAGATGGTGCTGCACTTCACCAGCCATAAGTAGTGACTGAGGCTGCAACAAATTACTCAGTCACTTTAGTATTAGCACTTTCTTTGGCATGTGAATTGCATTCACGCCAAACTTGATTCCAAGTTACTGCAGGGCCAGAGGTAAGAAATTTCTTCGAAGATATGCACTAGGTGTCTAAAGGAACATGGAGAAGCCAAAACAAAAACTTGAGACAATATGGAAGAAACCAATACAGGCAGCCAAGGGCTTCATGGTTCACATGGATAGCTCATCAAAAGACCACCGATGGAGTACAAAAGGAAAGCTACCATGGATGAGATAGATGCTTTTTTATGTAAAACAAGATTGATGATCATGATGATCTCTTCATTTCATGTGCCTTTGTAGAAGAGATTTGGAAAGCAATCACGTGGACATTCCATACCAAAGTCATAGCCTTCTCAAACACCCAAAGCTTCCTAACGATTTGGTTCCAAAAGAAGTTCGATAACAAGCTTCTTGACAAATTTTGGAGTGCTTCTCTCTCTTCTCTAGATTGGGTCATATGACAAGAAAGGCAAACAAAGGAAGACTGTTATCGTACCATTCAAGGTATCGTGAGGAAGAGGATATGAAAATTTCAGAATAATATCCCCCTCCCAAAATCAAAAATAATCCCCGAAGGAATGAAATAGAAAAACTCATACATGAAAGATGGGAAATATGACTTTCCAATTGACCTTGACCTTGAATGAAACAGATCAAATGTAGTGAGGTCATTATCTACATAGATTAGAGAGAAACTTGTAATGAGGCTCACTATAAAAACTAAATAAAACAAAATCTAGCTCCACACCCATTGTAAATTTTCATAAAAATCAATACAGGTGGGGGCCTGGTTAATGTAGTGAAAAAAACATAATGAGAGAGAGAGAGAGAGATAGAGAGGAGTTGGGGCCGCCCCCCCGCCCTTGCAATGCAAAATTAAATTCCATAAGAATCACAAATTTCTAAAGTCCAATGTAGTAAACTATAACATAGGAGTCTACCCCAACTTATCAAAATGAAGAAAAAAGGCAAACAAGTGTTGTATTGGGTTTACATTGCACATGTCCAGCCCACCCAAGCCTACTTTCTCTCATCTTATCACTTATTAGAGTCACACCTAAGTTCTCTCAAATGTATACATTTCGAATTTGATCTCTTCTTCTCTTAACACTCATCTATCTCAACATCCCCAGCGCAACTACACTCATCCTATGGGTATGTTATTTCTTAACCGCTCAATATTCTGCCCCATAAAGCAATATCGGTCTAGCAGCTGTCCTATAGAATTTCCCCCTCAGCTTCATTGGTATGTGGCAATCACATTAAACTCAACTTGCACATCTTCATTTCACCCACCCAACTTGAATTCTATGTGCGACATTTTCTTCAATCTATCCATTTTCCTAGATTATTGACCCAAGATATCAAAAGTGCGCTGTTTTTAGTATTTCTTGACCGTTAATCTTAACTACTTCCTCATCTCTACTCCTATTATTACTAAACTTTCATTCTATATACTTTGTCTTAGCTTGGCTAATCTTAAAACTTTTAGATTCTAGAGCATCCTTCCAATGTTCTAACTTTGTGTTGACGACGCTTCAGGCCTCATCGATCAAAAGTATGTCATCCGCAAATAACATACACCATGGTACGTCATCTTGTAGGTGCCTCGTGAAGTCATCCATAACTAAGACAAAGAAGCATGGGCTCAACGCGAACGCTTGATGTAGACTTATTGACACTGAAAACTCACTCGTCTCTCTATTAGTTGTTTGCACACTAGTAAGCGCTCCCTTGTACATCTCTCTCACCAAGTCGATATAATATCTGGAGACTCATTTCTTTTCCAATACCTACCAAATTAAATCTCGAGGTAATCTATCATAAGGTTTTTTTAGATCAATAAAAACCATGTGGAGGACTTCTCCCTTCATCCTAAACTTCTCAATCAGTTGCCTCGTAGAAGAATTGCCTCAATTGTTGACCTCCCTATTATAAAACCAAATTAGCTTTCTAATACACTCATTTTATGCCTTAGTTGTTGCTCAATCACTCTTTCCTACAACTTCACAATGTGGCTCATAAATTTGATCTATCAATAGTTGCACAATTCTATGTCCCCTTTGTTCTTGTAAATAGGTATTACAGTACTTTTCCTCCATTCATTTGACATTTTTTTTGTTCTCAACCCGTTGTTGAGTAAATTGGTCAGGCAGTCAATGCTGATCTCCCCCATGCACTTCTAAACCTCTATTGGGATACCCTCTGCTACTAAATCATTTCTTATCTTCATCCTCTTCAAAGCTTATTTCACTTTCGATATCCTAATCCTACAAATGTATCTTGACCTCAGCCCTCATTTGCACCAATAGTTATTTCTACCGTTGTGTTCCCATTATGTTCGTTATTTAATAATTTTTAAAAATAAACTTTTCACCTTTCATTGATCTCTTCATCCTTCACCAAGACCCTTTGATCCTCACTCTTAAAGCATTTAATATGATCTAGATCCCAAAACTTTTTCTCTCTCATTTTCGCTAATTTGGAGAAGGCAATGAAAGTCTCATTCAAATAAGAAAAAAAAAATGCCATGGCAGTAAAATTAAAACACACCATATGCCTCATATGCTACACTGAAGGTCTACAAGGTCCAACATTATTCAACCCAAGAATCTCTAATATCATAATTTTAGATACTCAACACCACCTAGGGTAATCTCCCATTATGCAAATACAACACCAACATTTTACCTGGTATTTGTAATCCAATGGCCCCAAACCTAAAATGCATATCATGGTGAAAAACTGTATACTCTTCTCCAAAATATATGGCAACAAGGCGCAGAATATTAAAGGTAAAGCTATAAAAACCCACAATAAGCACTCAACATATACATAGCCGATTCATAAATCAAAACCTATCCAAGAGAAGAGCGATCTCCAAAACAAAAATCTGGAAACCCAATCATGCAGATAAAAGAGCAAACACAAATGCAAACCCACAAAATATTATCAAATTTATCGGTAATTTGTTTCTAGAACATGCTTCTATAAGATCGAATTAAAGGATTAGGAAGCACACCAGGACGATGCTCTTGCAGAGATGATCGATCGATGGGGCCCCAACGATATCGCGCCTCTCTTCAAGGCTTCTTTCATAGTAATCCGAAGGCACCCTCTTGAACTCGAAATCTCCAACTCCACCTGAGCGAAGAATGTGAGATATGCGGGACTCCATGGTGGTGCAATGGTGAATATTTTCATTGTCTTCTTCATCTTCTTCTGCTTTTCCTTGTTGATACAGAGTGGGCGAAATATTACTGTGTTGTTGTTGGCCGGAAGGCAGCATACACGCCTCCAATTCAGATAGTCGTTGGAGGATTTGAGTCTGAAGCAAACGTAGGGAGTCCAAATCCATACGAACTCACCCTATCTCTCTCTCTCTCTCTCTCTCAATTGGATTGGAAAATCCTCGGTATATTGTAAAGTTCTGACCAGGACCAGGACGTTGTGCTCATAGTTAGCGACTTGGGAAATAATAATAGGGCCGGCCAATGGTTTAAAAACCTGGTCGGTAACTCGGATCGGGCACTTCAAAATCTGATTCGGATCGACGAATCGGCGACTCAAATCGGGAATTGGCTTAATCGGTAGGATTAAAGTTTCAAAAAATTCGAAAAATTTATTAAAATTCATTATAAATGTTGTTTTTTAATAATCCAATAAGAAATGATGGTACTACATTATTTACTTTCATTTTTTTCATCAATTTGTGAAAATTGAGATGTTCTTTCTCTGTATGAACTTATGTTAACCATTAAATTTATATCACACAAAATAAATCATAGAATTATTATGGATTAATTATATAATCATACATGGACTACAATAAAGAGTTGACTAAATTGATCAAAATTTGGCTACTAAAATCTCGAATTGGCGGAAAACTCTAATCCGTTAAAAAAACCCAGATTATTACAACCTAACTAACTATAATATTATATACCAACAATATTTTTATAATTATTTTATTATATAAATAATAACAAATCTAAAATATTTTATAATATCATCTAATTTAAAATGCATTATTGACAACTGTAAGAATAATAGTACACTACATGATTTATAATACAAAAATTAATAAATAAAATAAAAGATTTGGTTATCAATGTAGAAATTATTAGAATGCGTACCAACTTTCTTTAATTTTTTAAGTTTCTATAATAAATTAGTGGAAGAGATTGTTAGTAGAAAGAGAGAGATTTAAAATGGCTGCATTGTATGAATCCTATCTTTAAATTAATATTACTAAATTTATGTTAAAGACCATCTTGTTATAAAAATAAATATATAATTAGACCATTTATTCCTAGGTTGTATGAAGAAAATACCTTTTATTTTTTGACAAGAAATACTTATTGTGTTATCTTTTATTTTATTTTTACAAGAAAAAAATGATACTTGTTGAATATCTTTGATTTTTTTTTTTTGACAAAAGAAGAAGATGTTGTACTACATTTTTTTTTTGCTCGTTATATTACTTTTCTTTTTTTTTTACAAGAAAAATAAAAAAATGATGTTGTCAAAGTACATTTTATTTTTTTATGCTTTTTTTTATTTTATTTGCAAGAAATACTTGTTATATTACCTTGTATTTTTTTTACAAAAAAAATAAAAAAATGTTGTATCATCTTTTTTATCTTTATATTGAAAAGCCTTTTATTTTATATTTTTTATATTTTTTTACAACAGTATTTTTTGCCTTTGTTTCTTTTTTCTGACAACAAATTGTATTTTTTTTACAAAAAAAATAAAAAATATTGTATTATCTTTTTTATCTTTATCTTGAAAAGCCTTTTATTTTTTTATTTTTTTACAACAGTATTTTCTACCTTTGTTTATTTTTTTGACAACAAAATTTTTTTTGTATTTTTTGGTTGTGCGTTAAGGGGTTCGAACTCAAAAAAATATTTTTTTGACAACAAAATTTTTTTTGTATTTTTTGGTTGTGGGAATTATCCCACATTGAAGGATGAGTATTACTTAATTCTCTATAAAGTCATGTGTATTCAATTTTGGTTGCGCATGTGGAAACATGATGGAGGCAAACGTGAGATGAGTTGCGAGCCACGTGTCACTCTCGTGCGATGGCCACGCCTCACTCACATGAGGCTGTGTGGGAGTGTGTGTGGCACATGTGGACACGTACACACATGTGAAGGCTAGAACCGGGTGGGAACCTGTAGAACTGGTTGGGAACCCGGGCGGTTCACGATTTTGTGCCGAAACCGGCACGGTAAGTACTGATTCCTGAGTCGAACCCGGACACTGGGGCAAGCTGCTTCCCTTGCTTCATGAAACATATATACTTCCCCCATCCAACCGTCAAAATATGAATGGATGATTGAGATGTTCCAATAACAATATCAAGTTTCTAAACTATTTTAATTTTCAATTTTTTTTTTTGCTAGAACCGGTTGGGAACCCGGGCGGTTTCCGATTTTGTGCCGAAACTGGCACGGTAAGTACTGATTCCTGAGTCGAACCCGGACACTGGGGCAAGCTGCTTCCCTTGCTTCATGAAACCTATATACTTCCCCATCCAACCATCAAAATATGAATGGATGACTGAGATGTTCCAATAACAATATCAAGTTTCTAAACTATTTTAATTTCAATTTTTTTTTGTTACAAATTATTTTCACGTCAAATTTTAGAAGCCCGCTCCTCTCTTAAACTCGCACTCGCACTCGCACCTGTAAAAATAAAATATAAAAATATATATCTGTGAAAAAATATAAAAATATATTATCAGTAAAATAAAATAACCAATGAGCGCAGTGTGAGAAAGGAGCATGGCATAAGTGTTGTGTTGTATCAGGGCTTTCAAACTTTGAATGCGGCTGAGCTCCTTTCTCAATGTATTCATTATTCTAGGATGGTCACAATTTATCTCTGTAAAAGTAATTTAACTCTCTGATTGCAGTGTGAGAAAGGATGCAGGTGTTGTGTCGTATCAAGGTTTCAAACTTTGAAATCTCAGCTCAGCTGAATTGAAAGTGACGAGCTGATCACAACATATTTTACTAAGATAGGGTGTCACTTTCTCTCTCTAGATTCACTATTAAATATAAAAATCTCAAACCCCAACATTATGAATCCCATAACCTTCTCTCTGTAGATTTGATTGGTTGAGGCCTTGAAATAATGGCTGAGGAGCTCGAGCCTGGATACCTGAAACCAATGAGCGGGGATGCTACTCTTTTCTAGAATCAATAGCTTTGAGGTTCAAAACCATGTTGCTCAACAAAACCAGGATTTGTTTAGGGCAAAGCTCAAATTGGGTATGGCACACTGCCTACATGGGGGGAGAGAGAAAGAGAGAGAGAGAGGGTTTGAGGTAGAGAGAAAGGGGTATGGCACTGAGCTCAGATTGGGAGGAAGAGGAGATGTGGGCGGAGCTCACATAAGAAGAGCATGCTTAACAATTTTTTGTGTAAATTTTCAGTAAATTAAATACACAACAACTGTATTTTTAAGATATAAAATATATGATAGAATCATTGGGAGCATACAATCAACAACCACAACAACAATACCAACTAAACACAAGACTTGCATTAGCAAACCACAAGAATAGAACCCAAGATATGAGATTATTGGAAGAAAAAAAAAAAAATGGCCTTTAGTATAAGATTGCAGTTAACTAAAGCCTAAACACCTAAAATAGTGGTCTATCCAAATTATGTTGCATACACCAATTAAATTAAAAACAATAATTCAAAAGGCGAATTAATTAAATTTCTATGTGTAGAAAGAAAGCAACAAAATGTTTAAGCAAATAGAAATATTCGAAGCTCACCTGAATTATTAATTGCCTTAATCTTTAGTTTTCACTAAATCTCTTTCTTGCTCGTTATAATAATAATGCTTTGTGTTTAGAGGGGAAAAATAAGATTTTGCATTTAGTTACTATTCCTCTTACTCTTATTATTATTTTGAGATATATGGTCATTTTGATGGATGATTTTTTGGAAGATATATTGAGCTTTTTTTAAGGGCGTATTGTTGGACATTTTAGAAGGAAATATATGTTATTCAAAGATATTAAATCGATAGAGTTATAAAATATTAAATCGATAGAGTTATAGGTAAGTTTTATGAAAAGTTTTTTTTGAAAAAATATAAAATATAGATTTATATCAGTTCCATTAAATAAAAAATGCAATTTTTTAAAAATCTCTTCAAAAACTTGAAATTCTTAACAGATTTTTTTAAAAAAAAAACCCATAGATTTTTTTGAAAAAAATCATACTCATAATATAGACTTGTTAACCAACAAGTTTTACTGATTGCGTTTCACGAGATTCGAGATTTTTTTTTTTGTAAATTGCATCTATTCAATAATACACTTCTAAACACCTACTTTATGAAAGAATGCTCTTCCATTATTTTTTATGGAAGGGAGGTCTTCCAAAAATGAACTCATTTTAACACTAAAAACGAGCTACTTGGAAGGCCACTCTTCCATTTTATAGCTTCCACAATAATATCAAACATGGAAGTGAGACATTTAACTCTCACTTCCAAAAACTCCCACTTATCAAACAAAATCAGTTTTGACCTCCTTGTATTAAAAGTAAATTGTCTTTTTTCTATACTTTTTTGAAACATATTCTCCCTAATATTCTCTCTAGGGGCAGAAATGAACCCTATTTCTTATTCAAAAGCGTATTCAAGTGATTTAAACGTTAGTTTAAATCTTATTTAATTAATTAAAAATTGTTTTGATTCAAATATTATTTATTTTCTTTTTGATAAACGCATACCATTTTTGCTATAAAACTTATTTGAATCTCATTCTCCCTTACTTATCATTTTTTAATCAAAATAGTTTAAAGCAAAAAAGAAAGAAAAAAAACAATGCTTTCTAATTTGTTTTTTTTGTTTTACCTTGTTCTTAAAAATACATTTAAACAAGTTTTTTGCCTTAAGAAAGGGGGATTATATACCATAAGACCATTTACCTATGTTACAAGGAGGTCACAGAGATCTCCAACCATCGGATTTCAAATTGGATAGCTTGTATTGTACCACAAAATTCGATAAATTTTTTTTTGAATTTTAAACCTAGCCAATGACACATTTATAATTACCTTATTTGAAATCTAAGCGACAACAACGATATAGTGACATCCTTGGACCAAAAGTAAATGGTCTCATTTTATATTTTCCCTAAAGAAAAAGATAAACAACGGTTTAGATGATGTTCCCCTATCATATACAATATGATAATAAATTCGCTCGACTTCCATTCCCCTTTCATTGCAAGGGTGGCAAACTACAATTCTCAAATAACCATAATTCAAATTGATTTTTAATGAAGAGGATTAAGTATCTATAGCAGAGGAAGGATTGTTGCATGAAGAGCTTTTGGTAAACTTGGTTTTCTGACTTTAAGAGATGACTCTGGCACAATTCAGCTGTACAGCCTGTATTGTGAAGGAGAAGCTTCAAGACTACCAATTTGAGCAGTTGAAGACGGTTCTTGATATTGGGAACATACTAGGTGTTAGTGGATCGATAAAGTGGACAGAGATAGGGGAACTTTCTGTTTATGTTAAGTTCTTTTGGCCCTTACAAAATCACTACTCCCGTTTCCAGACGGGTATCATGGTCTTACTGATCTTGATAAGTGTTATCACCAGTGATATGTTGACATGATTGCAAATCCTGAAGTTGCAGTTGTTTACCGAGCAAGAGTAAAGATTGTGTCAGAGATTCGAAGATCAATGGAAGATTTGAAATTTGTTGAAGTCGAGACTTCTGTTTTGCAGGGAGCTGCAGGTGGTGCAGAAGCTAGGCCATTTGTTACTTACCACAATTCACTTGGACGAGACCTTTATTTGAGGATTGCAACAGAGCTTCACCTAAAACAAATGCTGGCTGGGGAAGTTTGAGAATGATCTATTGAGATAGGTCGCATATTTAGAAACGAAGGCTTATACACTCGACATTATCCTGAGTTCACCACAATTGAGATATATGAAGCATATACAGACTATGAAAGCATGACGAAGTTGGCTTAGGAAATTGTCATTCGATGTTCTCTGTTAGTGAATGGGAAACTTAGAGTGGTCTATCAGAAACAGAAATATCTCTGGAAAGACCTTGGAGAAGAGAAACTATCCATAATCTGGTCAAGAAAGTCACCGGGATTGATTTCAGTGAGATGGGTGATGATGTCAACGCTGCTAAAGCAGCTGCCATAACAGCACTTGGACTTGCTTCTGACAACAAATACAAGTTCACAATTGAGACAAGCTCATCTGTAGGCCATGTCCTCAATGAGGTTTTGGAGACAGTAGTGGAGCCTAAACTTGTTCAGCCAACATTCGTGCTAGACTACCCCATAGAAGGATTGTGGGTTTGACTGAACGATTTGAATTGTTCATTTGTGGTCGTGAATTAGCAAATGCTTTCTCAGAATTAATGGACCCCATGGATCAGAGGATAGCTTGGAGCTGCAAGTAAAACAGCATAATGAATAGAGAGCAGCCCACTCGGAAACTGAGGGATGGAAAAGAAGGAAGCAATGATGATGAGGCATATGAAGTTACTTTGGATGAAGATTTTGTAACAGCTTTAGAGTATGGGATGCCACTTGCTGCAGGAATGGGACTGGGGATCAACAGGCTTGTGATGCTTCTCAAAGATTCTGCAAGTATTCGAGATGTCATTGCTTTCTCCATTCTCAAGCTTCAGCAATAAATCTTTGTTTTCTTAGGAAAATAAAGTACCATTCTTCTATTCATATTTTCAAAGGTTTTTTGCATCACTTGAGATTTGCTGCTCTGTGAGTTGCTTCTCTCTCATAGATCTTGACCTCTGCTGAGATACCAAAAGCCAATCAGTTATGTATTTCACATAAATCTATTTCTTTGGGAACCCATGTACGGCTCTTAATTCTTTACAAGAGACATTACATAAGTTAGTCAAAAAAATAACCATAATTCATGGAATCATCACCACTCAATCAATGTTGGAGGGTGAAGGAAAAAACTCAATGAAGTTGGACAGTGATTGAGAGGGGGGAGGGCAACAACAGGAATCACTCAAATTGAGATTAATCCATATTTTCTCTATAAAGAGAGAAAGGGTGGTTTCCCTCCTATTTATAGAATGAGCTTTGTATCACAAGAGATGGTCTTAAGATCTTGGGACTATCCTACCAGTAATCTCTACAAGAACAAGACCCACCCTTGAAAAGATGAAAGCGGCTCCCATCTCTCACTGTAATCTCTCTCTCATAAGCCTCAGCTATCACTTTAAAAGCTGAATGACAATCCCTACAAACCCTCAAGTTCTTCACAATCCTAAGGGGTGTTCCCCTCCTGGTCCTTACTAACCCAAAGGCCAAAGCAAGCTTCTCACTGTGCCAACGCAATGCACCCTCCTTGTCTTCCTCATCTATGTCTAGCAAAACCTCCCTCTTGTGAGGCACATGCCCTGCCATCCTTAACAGTGTCCCAATCTCCTCTAACATGCCATACATCTCTATGTGCTTGGCAAAATGCTCCTTGTCCCCGGCAACAAACTCATGGACCGTGTTGTTGATCTCGATCGAGCTACATCCAGGAACTTTCCTTATGCCCTTACCACTCATCATATCACGAATACGAGCTTTATCGCCCCATCGCTCTTGGGATGCATAAATGTTTGATAAGATCACATAATTCGAACCATGGGTAGGGTCTGAGGCGATTAACCTCTTGGTGATTTGCTCCGTGAACTCGAGCTTGCCATGTACGCGACATGCATTGAGAAGAGCTCGCCATATGATAGGGTTGGGCTCTATGGGCATCTCTTTGACAAAGCTGTAGGCCTCGTCGATGAGCCCTGCCCGACCCAACATGTCCACCACACATCCGTAGTACTCGGCCTTAGGGGCTAAACCATATCTTTCTTGCATTTCTCGAAAGTGGGCCCACCCCTCGTCCACGAGGCCCGCATGGCTACATGCCGAGAGCACTCCTAAGTACGCTACGCCATCTGGAGAGACCCCATGTGGGCCCTGCATCTCCGAGAACAACATCAAAGCCTCTGTTGCCCTGCCATGAGAAGCGAGACCATCAATCATGGCTGTCCACGACACCACGCTACGCTCCTGCATCCTGTTGAACACACCCCATGCCTCCTCCACACTCCCACACTTTGCGTACGTGTCAATTAGCGCGTTACACAGCGGAATTGTGCGCTTCACATTCTGCTTCTCTACATACAACTCGACCCAATTGGCAAGCCCTAATGCACCAACATCAGTACAGGCGCCTAGCACACTGACAACAGTAATTTCATCAGGAACCACGCCAAATGCCTGCATCTCTCGAAAGAGTGCGATTGCATCTCCAGAGAAACCACACCTCACAAATGCACCGAGCATAGCACTCCATGACACCGTGTCCTCCTTTGTCATTCCATCGAACACTTGGCGCGCCATATCACAATCACCACAACTCCCGTACGCATGTATCAACGTGTTTTGAATGTGGAGATCAGAATTGAACCCGAATTTCACAATGGAACTATGAAGTTGTGGGACTACAATGGGCTCCGACAGCCCAGAACAAGCCTTGAGAGCGACCGGGAATGTGAATTTATTGGGTGTGATTCCATCCCGAAGCATGAGAGAGAAGAGAGAGAGGCCCTGGTGCCCGGTGTGGTCAGAGAGAGAAAGGCCTCGGATCATTGTGTTGAAGAGGAACGTGTCGCGATGGGCGGTGCGAGAGAAGAGGGCCGAGGCGTAGCCGATGGCGGAAAGGTGGGAGGCAATGGCGATGAAGCGAGTGACGACTAAGAGGTTGGAATTGAGGCATGTTTTGATGAGGAGGGAGTGGAGTTGGGTAAGGTGAGAGAGGGAGGTGCAGGAGTTGACGAGAGAGAGGCAGGCCTGTTCGCCCTCTCTGCCCTTGGAGTGGGGCTGCGAAGCGGATGGCAGATAGTGGAGATGGCGTAGTCCTAGAGAGAGAAGGCGCATGTCATGAGAGAGAAATACCCTGTGCTAATTTACACTTATGAGAGATCTCTATAGCCAATATTTACAGCCATTGTAGTTTGAGAGCTTGTAACCATTAACCCTTTGCACAAAAACTCCCCATTCGTTAACAGCGACTCCTCCCTCCATAAGCTCATTCCCACCCCTACCCATCACAGGTAATGGCGGCAATTGACCCAGACTCGGAACCCGACAACCGGACTAGACCAGGGTTTGGGTAAGAATTAGACTAGGCGGGTTGGATTTAAATATTTGACTCGATTACTATTTGGGTCTAGGTGCATGTGGATTGACTTGAACCAGTCCCGACCCGACCCGAGTATTTTTTTTTTATTTTTTTCTTTTATATAGTTGTCTGGGTATGTGGAAATGTATTACGTCATAATAGATTACAAGAAAATATTAGATTTATATCGTTTGGGTACATTTTATTAATAAGGAGATAGAAATACATTAACCGAGATTATTCAATATTTTTCCAAAAATCAGTAAATTCATCATGCGCGGTGAAGGTGAAAAATCTATTACGAAGTTAGTAATCTTTGGAAATCTTTTGTGTGCGTGTCTTTGCTCTATCCCTGCTTAAAAAACATTTCTCTCACTCAAGTATATTTTGTACCTTATAAGTATTAAAGTAAATAGAAAATGAAATTAGGGTATATGAAAAGGGGAATCTATATTGATTTGAACAATTGTATGAGGAGAAATTCTATTGCAATCATAATAACAAAAATTTATATCTCTCACTCCCCAATTTGGGTTGTATCCCTCATCTGACTCTCATATAAAAACAAAAAAATTTAATTATTAGTAATTGAAAAGAAGGAGAAATCTAAATTTATTTGAACAGTGGTCGAACTTGATGAGGGACAATTTTCTACCATATAAAAAATAAATAATAAAAATAATAATTGGTAATCAATGAAAAATTACAGAACACAATCATAATAAAAAATTCCACGCAACATAATCCTCATTAGAGATTAGTAAAAGTTTAATTGAAATAAGATACCTCTTTAGTATCCTCCAATGCTTCAAAATTTTCTACTCCAATTACCAAACCTTCTAGTTTACTAATCAAACTTCTTCCCATTTTTTAACTTGTATTATAAAGATTTTGATTTTGGTATTATAAATTTATTGTTTATTTGAAATTATATAGAGAGAAACATTTGAAAGACCTCTATAAAAAATAAATAAAAATAAAGCTTATCATAATAAAACCATGTTATTCCAATCATATTATCCAATGACTTATCATGTTGAAACCAAAGTCTAATCATGTTAGCCAAACATAACCATATTTTTCATATTTTGATGGTAATGCATTTCTCATATTTTTTGAGACATAGCCAAACAGTACCAATGTATTTCCCAACATACATCTAAATACTATCCAAAGAGTGAGAATCCATTTGCAGGTAATGTATTATGTAGTAATGTATTACGCCCCTAATATATTTGACAGATAGTACATTTACGGTATCCAAACCTCCCCTAATAGTAAAGAAATAGAAAAACATTACCGAGATTACCAAGATTTTCCAAAAAATCACGAAATCCAAAGAGTGAGAATCCATTTGCAGGTAATGTATTATGTAGTAATGTATTACGCCCCTAATATATTTGACAGATAGTACATTTACGGTATCCAAACCTCCCCTAATAGTAAGGAAATAGAAAAACATTACCGAGATTACCAAGATTTTCCAAAAAATCACGAAATCCATTGTGAGGGTGAAAAATCTATTATGAATTGACGGATATGGAAATCTTTCGTGTGCATCCCCTAATAGTAAGGAAATGGAAAAACATTATCGAAGATTACTAAGATTTCCCAAAAAATCACGAAATCCATTGCGAGGGGTGAAAAATCTATTATGAACTGATGGCTATAAAAATATTTCGCGTGTATCCCCTAATAGTAAGGAAATGGAAAACATTATTCAAGATTATCAAGATTTATCCAAAAATCACGAAATCCATTGTAAGGGGTGAAAAATCTATTATGAATTGACAGCTAATCTTTGAAAACCTTTCGCTTGCATCTTTGTGCTATCCCCGCTTAAAAATTTTTTTTTTAAAGTAATGGGGAATCGAAATTAATTTGAATAAGTGGATGAGGAGAATTTTCTACTGCAATCATAATAAAAAATTTCTACATCCTTCTATCCCTATTTTTCTACCTCCTTCTATCTCCAATTTGGGTCATAGCCCTCATCTGACTCTCATATCAAAACAAATTTTTTTAATAATTGGTAAGTGAAATCAAGGATAAATCTAAATTGATTTGAACAGTTTAGAACTTGATGAGTTTCTACTGCAATCATAATAAAAAAATTTCTACATCCGTCTATCCACAATTTGGGTTGTAACTTGCCATCAGCTCTTGTATAAAAACAAAAATAATAAAAATAATAATTGACAATCAATGAGAAATTACACAACACAATCATAATAAAAAATTTCACACAACATAATCCTCATAAGATATTAGTAAAATCTCAAATGAAATAAGATACATTTTTAATCTCCTCCAATACTTTAAATTTTTCTACCAATTACCAAACCTTCTAGTTTACTAATCAAACTTCTTCCCTTTCTTTAACTTATACCATGAAGATTTTGATTTTGGTATCATAAATTTATTGCTTATTTGAAATTCTTCCCATTTTTTAACTTATACCATAAAGATTTTGATTTTGGTATCATAAATTTATTGTTTATTTGAAATTACATATAGAGATACATTTGAAAAACTTCTATAAAAAATAAATAAAAATAAAGTTTATCACAATAAAATCATGTTATTCCAATCATATTATTCCAATAACTTATCACATTGAAACCAAAGTCTAATCATGTTAGCCAAACATAGCCATATTTTTCACATTTGGATGGTAATGCATTTCTCATATTACTTCCAGGCATAGCCAAACAGTAGCAATGTATTACCCAAGTTGCATCTAAATACTACCCAAATAGTGCCAATCCATTTACAGGTAATGTATTACGCAGTAATGTATTATACATGTATTACACCCGTAATATATTTCACAGACAATATATTTCCATGTATCCAAATGGCCCCTATGTAATTTAGTGGGGAAGATAGGTTCCTACCCATTTTTTCAAATAGTTTACGAGTCAGGTCTTTCGAAGGTGTTAAGTGAGGTGGTACAAGTGGAAATAAAAACCATGACTAGAGTGTTACCTACTTGATCTCTTTTTCTCCCTCTAAACTCTCATCATTGACACCTCTTTGTCGAAAGTTCTATTTGACTTGTTAACAAGTTGCCAAAGTAATCATGTCTATCTTTTCTTTTCTTTTTCGTTTTTTTCTCGAATCGTTAACATAAATGCTCATTAAGCAGGAGCATGTGCTTGAAAGGTGTTACAAAGAAAGTAACAAAAGAAAGAACAAAGAGGGGAAATAATGAAAAAAGAGAATAAAGATATCAAAGGGAAGAGAAATCTTGTTACGATATATCCAATCATGGGGAATAAATGGGAGTGAACAAGTAAAATAAAATTTAGAAATAGTTAATTATGGATGTCAAAAAACAAGACTAATAAAATTCCAAATTTATGTAATAGTATACCCCTGTGTTTTAAAATCTGGTGATTTGCGATTCAAAACACGGATCTGGATAAAAATCAGTTGAAGCCAAACTGGTTCTGAGATGGTTTGGGTCTCGATGAAGTTCACCCCTTACAACCCCCCTCACTTGCATATTTTTTCCCTCGTTTCGAGCTTGTCTAATATTTTTTTAGTTCTCTTAAATCTTCACTCCATAAACTCCTATTTTATTTAATTATATTAATCACCAATTAAAATTGATTCCGATCCGACCCGATAATCCAAAGACCTATGAGTGAATGAGCCGCCCACTTATATGGGTTTTAAAATATTGGTATTTTCATTTAGGGTGTGGTTTCTATAACATTGCAACCTTAAACACTCCAATTAAGGCGCACCTCTGAATTTTATTATAATATATATTTTTGTTGTAAAAAATTATTAGGATTATCTTAAATCTATTCTCATATCTAATTAGAAAATTTTAAATTTTTAAAATATTTAAAATTAAGTAGATCTATAAATATATGAAATCTTAAAAATGGATGGTCTACATAATATGTTGCAAGATGCACTATTTATGGGACTCAAAAACATGTTCATACATCTCGATGTTGAGATCATGGATTGAAAACTCGGTGAGTCGGCATGGAATTGGCCAATTCGACACAAGAATCGGTGATCCCTTGCCAAGTCTAGCATAAAATATGGAACCGGGCAATCCTAGAGGGGAATCGACGATTCTTTATGATTTGCTACAGTGGCACATTCGTATCGACACGGTGACTCACTAAAGCTCTTGAGTTTACAGCCTTTTCACAAAAATCAAGCTTTTTTCTACCAACAAACTGTAAAAATCCATCTTTGTTTGCTCAATAGTGGAGGGGAATAAGTTTTCTAAGTATATAAAGCATCTATTGGGATTGGATTGAACAAAAAAAAACCAATTTTCGTGAGATTATTGACTGAAATTTGAGGATTTTTTAGCTGATTTGGGTTTTCCGCCAAAAATCTAATTTTGTGGTTGTTCGTCATCAATTTGATCTGTTTTTTTTTTGCTGAAAGATCGTGGGAGTATAAGCTTTTATCAAAATCAGGTATGATGATTTGTTGATTTGTATTTTAATTTTACAAAAAAAATTTGAGCTCATGTTCTTCCTCTTTTTTTGCAAAAAATTCATCAAAGTTCATCAACATTCGTCTTTTTTTTTTTTTTTATGAATAATGGAAGGGAATCACTTTTTAAGTCCATAAAACATCAATTGGAGTTGGATTGAACCAAAAAAAATGTCGGATAGTGGATTTTTTGACTGAAATTTTGGTTTTGTTTTAGCTAATTAGGGTTTTCAGCCAAAACTCAATTTATGTAGCTGTTCTTCATCAATTCGATCCATTCTTTTTG